GGGCTTTGAATGTGTCGTACTTTTCAAAGGTCTCAGAGCTCGCGTATAGCCGAATGTCGTGATACGATAAGACAACATTGCAATCGCTTCCCGGACATTTAGCTTCACGCCAAGTACTGCCTTGAAGCTGTGTAGTTATCCAATCCGCGTAACAGCCTGCGCACGTCTCGGGTCGATGTTCGCAGTCGGTAAGTGAGGGTAGGTCGCCAATGGCAATGCTATTGTCGCAGACAACACAGTCACGACGCCGTAAATGCGTCCCCTCTTCTGTGTTGAAGTCCATATTGGTGTAATTTCGTGTGCAGACATGAGTAATAGCCTGCCGTAGAGTCTCCAATCGTACGATCTCAGGAGACTCGGCTAGAGCTGCTGGTGATCCAGATTTCTCTGCGAGCTGGGCTGGAGTTAGACGCATCTTCTCTTGTAGAAGCTGAGCAAGCCGGTGGTCTTCCTCTTCCCAGGCTTTGCGGTCGTGTCGAGCATCATCTATGCATTCTGAGATAAGAGCCGAAACTTGAGATTCAGAGTTCTCAAAGCTATCCGCTGTTGTAATACTGATGCATGACCCGCTGGGACTCTGGTCCATAAGAACAGGTCGAGTTCGTCGTCTGTTGATCAATTGACGTGATAGTCCGGCGGACTCCAAGGACTCCAAGGAACTTATGCTCCTAAGATCACGTTCATCGTCACCATGGTCATTGATGACTATGGGATCTGTGCTGTTCTCTCCATGTCGTCGCCAAAAGTCTAGATCCATTGCACTCGTATCTGGTGGGTTCAGTTGTCCTCGAAAACTGGGCAAGAGGGGATTCGAGGAAGCCATTCTATTCCAGGCTGATTTTGCAGCTTTGGCCGAGTTGGAATGTTGGAAGGGAAACGAGAAGTTTATTGTGCTCCGAGGCGCTGTTGCTCCTGTAGGTGCTAGTGGTGTATGCGTGGTAGCTGGTAGCCGCAACTTCACGAGCTGCTCTGCAATTGCGTCTCTTACGGTGAGCTGGGGTGGTTCCTTCCTGTGTAGCCTGGGCACGTCGTGTTGTTGTTCCGCGACTCCTGAATCGTGCGGAGAGGCGTGCGTAGTGGTAGAGTAATCAATATGTGGCTCAGGAAATGCGAGAGATAATATACTGAAACACGGTCTAGGCTGCACAGGATCTCCTTGGCATGTTTGTCGACGAGCCTTCAGGAGTACCCTTCTGACAGGATGTGACGTAATCCGACGCGTGCGCACGTGGTGAGGGGGAAAGGTATCTCGCGCGCATGGACCTGGGGTTACACCTTGAAGTTGATCGACGTCAGGAGTAATGGCAGAAGAGGTGCTCCTCGACCGCTTGCGTTTCTCGACTTGGGGCTTGGAATTCTCGGATACGCGTTTCCCAAAGGCGAGTTTCGACGGTTGACTCAGTAGCTCTGCAGCGGAGTGGAATCTGGACAACATGTCAATGATACTATTCAGGAACGCGACATACCAGATCGTGAACAAGTAGATAAATCATCAGTATAGTACTCACTCTGCCATGATTGTAGGTGTCCGAGTTGACGCAAACTCGAGAACTGACTCAGCCTTCCAAGTAACGAAGCTGTGACTGCAGCACAAGTGTGGGATAACCTTTTTTCGTTTGCTGTTGTTCGAGGGGATATTCAAGGTCGGAGGACGCTCACGTGAAGATGGGGTTAAGACACGAGAGAGGATGAAGGAATGAGATGAGAGCTGAAACTTATGCATTGCGTACGAGAGGCTGCACCACGGGGCTGGACTACACGTCGCTAGAGAGACTTAGGCTTTAATGCACAAAGCCCAAAGGACCGATAAACCGTTGGAAGGCTCCAATGCTATGATCCTTTGGTGGTAGTATGCAGCCTCTCGCATATGTACCACGCTTGCCAACCAATTGTTGAATCAGGATGCAGCTGAACATTGGTCAACCCCACTCAGACTGTACAACCATTATGTCTCACCCCTTGCTCAGCCGAAAGCTATAGTGATCGCCACTCGGAAAATGGCTAGACGCTTCTATATTTTCTGGGCAGGCTTTACGGTGCCAATGCACGCTCCAAATCCGACTCCAGCCCCTCCATCGCCAACCACACCGATATAGCGAACTTCATCCCCATCGTTAAGGTAGCGTAGCTCAGATCCATCGCTCAATTTGCTTGGAGCCTTGCCGTTCTTTGTCAACTCGAGCAAACATCCGTGTTCATGGTCCTGTTCACCAGAAACTGTTCCGCTGGCGATCAGATCTCCTGTCCGGAGTGAACATCCGCCAATAGTATGGTGCGCTAACATATGTCTGAAGGTCCAGTACATTGTTTCGAAGCCAACCTTACATGTCGTAGTCTGATTACCGTTTCGGATGATCTGACCTTCGAGCTGGATATTGTAGTTGATACTTTTGGGGTCGTCCATAAAAGAGGCTACAGGCTCCATACGGGGCGGGGCCGAGACTTCATGAGGCTTCAATGCTTCTAGCGTAACAACCCAAGGCGTGATTGAAGTCATAAAGTTCTTTCCGTTGAATGGGCCTAAGGGGTTCATTTCCAAGCCCTGAATGTCTCTTGCGCTCCAGTCGTTCAACAGAACTAGGCCAAATATGTGGTCGTCGGCATCTTTCGCGTTCAGGTAAGTCCCAGCTTCTACAGGTTTGCCAATGACTGCAGCAATCTCCATCTCGTAATCCAAACCCCGCGATGGTCCAAAGATAATCTTCTTATCTGGAACAGTGTAGTCTTCGATGAACTGACCCAAAGGTCTCATGACGGGCGCTCCTGACACAGTGATCGAACTCGACCGACCCGCGTAGCCAACGGGGTACTTTTTGAAGGCTGGAGGATAAGAACGGACTCCCATTACTGCTTCTCCTGCGTTGAGAACGTGGTTGGCAGAAGCACTGTAGTCTGTGAAGTCTCCAATATGTACTGGCATATGGAGGGTAACATCGCTGATGTTTTCCGAGTATTTGGCATATGACTTGCTATTATATGCTTCTCGTACTGCAGAACGCACTTCACTTTGAATGTCCTTCCCTAGAGCGGCGAACGTGTTCAGTGTGGGTTCGCGGAAGATGGACGATAGCGGTGCTGCGATGGCCTTAAAAGAGTCGTGCTCCGCGAGCTCTGCCAGGAAGATGACTTCATCACCAATTCGTGTCGCGCATTGTGGTGCGTGGCGTTTCGACGAGCTTGCAATCCCGTATGGGATGTTGTTCACGCTGAAATGCGAAGCGTAATTGTCTGCCATTGTGTGAAGGAGAGCTTTATTGGTATCAGAGGACGATTAACTTGTGAGCACAAAGTAGTTTGTGGTATCGAGTTCGTAATACTCAAACCCCAGAACACAGCTTCAAGGCTTTACCTGAACCTGGAGTCGCGACTGGAGAGCTGACAGCGCGTGTAGGTGGGGATGTTCATCTCGGAGGCCGCCCCTCCACATCCCATCTCCGCATGTGTTACTATGACCGGAAGGCACAACGGCCATGGTATCGAATGAGACGACAATAGCGGGGACTAGGCGTTCCATGGTTATCCGGTCAACGTTGACGCAGCGGTTCTTATTCAGACTTCGTGGAAAGATGGCCGCGGGTACGCGTTCAGTCTAGCACGAAAGCGGCCAAGCGTGTCTTCTAATTGATAAACATAACACGCAACACCTAGCTCCGTAGCATGTCTTTGTCTCTTGCTCAAGCTTTCCCACAGACCACAAACCCTTATTCGCCCATAAATATACCGCTTATTGACTAAAGGTGATTCAACTAGTCCCTCGTACGAGACCCCGCACGGGATGTACCGAGTACGCGTCGGCAGATGCTACATTCAGGGTCTGTGAACATGTCCTCCACATCGGGAGGCCATAGATGAGCCTTTCGATACACATCTCACTCTCTGGTTGATTCGACTATCATCCCTTGAATCTATTTTGAAGTCTCGTTTTGTATCTTCATCAACTTACTACGATACTGGCATCTTCGCCCTCAACTACCTTGTTGCTCCTACAGTCTATATTTCATCATGGCGTCAAAGCCCGAAATCACGAACGATCTCCCAAAAGTCCATCGCTTCATCACAACCCACGACCCTACAACCAAGAAAGCCATCTTCTCTGATGCCGTCCCAGAAGAAGCTAAAGTCGACCATATTCCTGGTGCTGACTTCCGGCTCGGATATGTTACCAAGGGATTTCCGGTCGATCTGAACAAAGACGCCGACCTTGCAGTTTACAAGCCTTACCTCGAATCGCCTCCAGGCCTGGTCTCTTCAGGGGGAACAGTTCTACGATTCGTCGATGTGGCGCCTGGTCACCTGTCGCCAATGCATCGCACAGTCTCTCTAGATTACGGTGTCGTGTTGGAAGGTGAAATGGAGTTGGTGCTAGATTCTGGAGAGACAAGATTGATGAAGAGAGGAGATGTCGCAATTCAGAGGGGCACAATGCACGCTTGGAGGAACACCAGCTCTACATCTTGGGGTCGCATGATGTATGTTCTTCAAGAATGCAAACCGGTAGAGGTCGAGGGTGAAGTCTTGAAAGAGGACTACGGAAGCATGAAGGGTGTTCCAGCATCATCATAGTGGCATTGTCTTCTCTAGGATCACATGAGCTGTAGAGATCGTTGTAAATAAATGTCGATGCGTTCTAAACCATATCATTTCTCCATACATCATTCCAACGATCTAAGATCTGATGCACATAATTCTTGAGGTTTAAACCGCTCAAAACTCTTACGAGCTCATTACCAGTGGTAAACTAAAAAAAAAGATGAGTTTGTTTACCATCTCAAGTAAAGTACATGCTATTTTTTCCATGTTCCCGCGTGCTATCATGGCTTACTTAGGTAACGCGCCAATAGAGTCTGGTACCTCCACATCCCGAATGTGCCCCTCGAACACCGCCGCACCTTGTCAACGGCGCGCTGTCGGCACAGGAACCCACTACGCGTCGCAATATGTAGTATATATCCAAATGATGGAAAGAGTATGTTTCTTGCACTTCCGATATCACACACAAAATGTCTGACCAGCTAGAAGTAAAGGACGCTTATTCCATCGACGAGTCGTCATTTCCCTATCTTTTTGAGGAGAATGTCGCCGTGCCACTGAAGACATCATCCGAAGGCATTATTCGATGCAATGTCTACCGACCGAAATCTACAAAGGAGGGGACGAAGCTTCCGGTGCTGGTGACTTACGGACCTTACGGAAAAGATATCCACTACAAGGAGTGAGTTCAACAACTGAAGCGCGCGCTGCAGCAACTAATGCCTCCAGTTTCCATGGCAAATCATACTCAGAAGTAAATCCCGAGCACCATTCTGATCATTCGGCATGGGAAACTCCAGACCCTGGCTTTTGGACGAAGCACGATTACATTATCGTGCGCGCCGACGAACGTGGCCTCGGCCAATCTCCAGGCTTCTTGGACACAATGTCGCGAGGAACAAGCGAGGCCTTTTTTGATGTCGTCGAATGGGCAGCTGAGCAACCATGGTCGTCTGGAAAGGTCGGCTTACTCGGCATCAGCTACTATGCCGGATCTCAGTGGCGTGTGGCAGCACGTAAGCCTAAGGGTTTGGCTGCAGTCATTCCTTGGGAGGGGATGAGCGACTACTATCGTGACCGATGCCGTCACGGAGGCATCCTGAGTAACAAGTTCATCGACTTCTGGTGGTGAGTTATACAAATGGTCTGAGCCCGGTCATATGCTAACGATTTCATGCAGGAATCGACAGGTCATTACCAATCAATACGGCAAACCAGGCCGTGCAGCGCGTAACTGGGGGCCAGATACTGTCGACGGTGACCTTTCAGAAGAGGTGCGTGCAGAACGCCGACAGGACCAAACAATCGATACCGCCAAGTTCAAGTTCCGTGACGAAACATACTATGCAAGCAAAGAGTACGACATGAGCGATATTGAGGTACCGCTACTTTCTGTCGGCAACTGGGGCGGTATTTTGCTCCATCTTAGGGGTAACATCGAAGGCTACGCACATGCTGGGTCTGAGTTCAAGTACCTACGAATGATCACTGGAAGGCACGATCTACCATTCTACTACAAAGAAGAAGTCGAGATACAACGGAGCTTCCTTGATGCTTTCCTCAAAGGCGACGACAGAGTAGGGTGGTCTGTCAAGGGCAAGCTTCCGCCTGTGGACATGGTCCTGCGAAAGGGCGATGTGGGCTTCAACGATGCCGAGAAAGAGAAGGTTTACGAGAGGCGCACAGAGAACGAGTGGCCTATCGCACGAACTCGTTATTCTAAGTTCTACCTTACGCCTTCTCAGACATTGACACAGATCCAGCCTATTCACAACAGACCCCAGAAATTGTCGTACGAGGCACTTGGCACTCTTGACAACCCCAAGCTCCTTCAGTTTACGACGGCACCATTCGAGGAAGAGACTGAAATCACTGGCCACATTGTCGCACATCTAAATGTGTCCCTCTCAGCCCATCCCAAGGGCGCCACTCCTTCCGACATCGATCTCTTTCTCACTCTACGCTACATTTCTCCAGAAGGCAAAGAAGTCTACTACACGGGCACAGCGGGAGACCCTATACCCCTTGCAAAAGGCTGGCTGCGCGTCAGCTTCCGCAAAACCAATCCCGACCACCCAAAACATAGAGAGTACCTGCCATGGCGAGACTACTTCAGCACTGACGTTCAGCCCGTCATACCTGGAGATGTCTACGCTGTGGACGTGGAAGTTTGGCCAACAAACGTTATTGTGGAGAAGGGTGGCAAGATTGTATTTGAGATTAGCAGTGGTGATACGCAAGGAAGTGGTATCTTCCAGCATAACCATCCCGAAGATAGGAGTGAGGAGAAGCTTGCGGGGTGGAATCATTTGCATTTCAGTGAGAAGGCTGTAAACTATGTTACGTTGCCAATCGTACCTCCTAAATAGAATAGTGAGTACGGAAGTTGGGACGAAAGTATAGACTGCGACATATATTTAGGTTAGCGAAATCAACATTTCTCACAGGCCATATACACAGCGCGAATGATAAGTTTGTAGTAACTATTTTTGATCTGGTCGTCCGTTACTTATTCCTCATATAAGATGGCGAAAGACAATCCCTTGAGAGACAACGTGTCTGATTTCATGAACGTAAGTAGATATGAAGTTGTGAAAGAAGAAAAAACTTGGGAATATAGTACACTAATTATGTACACTAACGATATTAAAAGTCAAACTGCATGTATACTAGCTAAAGCCTCTATTCCCATCTACCAACAGTAAACTGGCTGTTGCACATGTTCACCAACTCCCAATCCTCAGCTCCGAGCACACACTCGTCGCTATCCCTCTTACTTCCATCAACAACTCCAGCCACAAAACATGCCGCCATGTAGTGATCATCTGTCGCATGCGCATCGCGGAACATGGGATGCTTCATCAACCTCGTGATACCACGTGTCAAGCTACCTTTTTTCGCACCCTTCCTGCAGCAGCGGATAAAGACATCCTCGACGCTCTGGCGGAACTCCAGCATCGGTGCCTCTGGTGGGTATGGTTGTGCCAAGTTGTCCGAGTACCTGAGCATCTGCGCCCAGTGGTTGCGATAAAGGTTGTGAACCGCGCCACCCGTACCAATGATGAGATAGCCCTCGTCACGGAATTTGGCCAAGATGTTACCCACCCGGGCGTGCAGATGCGGATCGAATCGCGAATTCATACTGATGATAGTCGTTGGTGGGCATTTCTCGGGAAACATCCTAATCAAAATCAAGTATGTGTCGTGGATCCAGTCAAATGTGTCGTTTGGTCGTGCGTCAATGCCCTTTTCTCGCAGCGCTGCTATGCACTTCTTTCCGCTCTCGAGATCTGGGACGAGCTCGTAGTCTTTGTATTTGCGCGGGTGAACGTACGCGACGGGTGATTTTATGGGTGCCGGGTTCATTGACACATCGATACGGTTTACGCCACGCGCGTCCCAATGCGCGCCCATCATTATCACACCTTTGATGCCGTGAGAGAGGGCTTCATCACCACAGGCTTTCCAGTAGTCGGCCGATTTGGTCTCTTCGCCCAACATCATCGTCGAGCCATGGGAGAAAAAGTGAACTGGTGGAGCCATCTTGATGTTGGTAATGTGCTGTTCCTAACAAAGAGAGGATTTGGTCTGACCGGCTGCTCAGACGGAAGCTTAGGCTTGATGTGCTCGTCGCGATGTGAGAGTCCGGATCGCAGCGGTACTGATATTACTGAACGGGGGCGGAAAACGTATCGTCAGACACGCGGCTTTGTTGGAAGCTTTACCCATCGCGATCAATACTGTGTAGAACACCCCTGGGTGTTGTACGGCAAAAGTCGTAATGTGGGGAGTGTCAGAGGACCTGTCCGAGCGTCTAGCCGAGGGGAAGAACGCGTCTTGTCTTGTCGATCTCCGCATTCTCTCCCCACTCACAACCTTATCTCCAGCTTCCCTCCACTTTCCTCTGTCCCGATGCCATTGTTTTTCGAAGCCACCCGATAGCACAACTCAGCATGCAGACTGCCCCGATATCAGCGAACACGCAGTCAGCCAACACAGAACCTGCCGAACAACCGCGCCTATTCCAGTGTAGCACTTGCAAGAGGTCTTTCACACGTGCAGATCACCTCACAAGACATGTGAGAGCGCGTAAGTCAGTAGCTAGAATCCCGAAGATCAATATGATACCATTGAGCTTGACTCGAGTAACCTTGCCTTTGCTCCGCGGCTTTGTTGACCGGAAGCTAGTTGGCACCTGCGCCGGGAGGATTGCTTTCGCGCGACTAGCATATGTCAACGTTAGATTACATAGATGGTTCATTAACTAAACTAACGGCATGAGTAGACACCAAGTCCAAGCCTTACATTTGTCCCGTCTGCTCCAAAGGCTTTGCCAGAATGTACGTGTCATGCTTTGCTTTTCAATGTCGTTTCACTGACTTTGTGTAGAGACTTACTCAAGAGACATGTAACAAACCACGATACAGAGCCTGCCAGTAAGCGGCAAAAACGCGAGATCGCTCGTGATACCAGAGTTGTCCAGGCTTGTGAAGCTTGCTCTCAAAGCCATCTTCGATGCGAAGACGAAAAGCCATGTAGTCGTTGCAAGAAGAAGAAAATACCCTGCCGGGTACCTGAAACTCCTGCTCCAGATGAAAACGACATCCATGAGATTGATGCAGTTCATGCGGCACAGGATCTGCTCGACCTTTCGAATGGATTTGATTACCCCTCATCGCTGCCGGCTCACAGCGGGAGCGGCAATCCTTCGGCATCTACGACTTCAGAGACCCCAGAGCCATTTCACAACCCACCGCCCATGCTCATAACAGACACCACAAATATGCACCGGCAATCCGTGGATCCTGGTGACCCTGAGACAAGAACAACGAATTTGACAGACATGCAGCCACCAACCAACAACGGCGGTGGACTCGTCGTGATGAATCAGAACTACGAAGATCCTAACGCAACCATGACTTTCCTCGATAATTCCATGTCGCACTTTGATAACACGCCAGGGCACAACCCTTTCTTACCAGATTATTTTCGCAGCATGCCCCCTTTCGAGGCATTCATGTCTGGTCAGGCAACTCCACGTGGTATCATGGATTTCAGCTTCGATCTTGATGTTGGATTGACTGACCTCGATCTTGGACTTCTTGATCAATACAATTTCCAGGTTCCGTTCGCCGCCGATACGCCATCTACGGATGCTCAAGGGGCGGAGCAACAATTGTCGGAGACTGACACTGCGCCATTAAGGGCGGAAGCCTTCAAGCAGAGCATATGGCGGTATCTTCCTCAACGGTCGAGAAACCATACTGCAGAACAAGTCAACTTGGCTGTACCGGACACAGAGAAAGACAGCTACCGGCGTTCGAACTTTACACATCGGCGCGTGGTAGCAGAAAAGTAGGTGCGCATCCGCGGTAGATCAGGCATGGACTGTACTCATTTTACTTGTAGACTACCACGCTCCAGCCGCGACCGGTTGATGGCTTTGGTCCTCGGTACATGTAGCCCAGAGAACGTCAAACGTATAGCGTCCGCCTTTCCCAGTATGGAGCTACTGGATGGTCTGATCCAATACTTTCTATCTTCACCATCGATAGATGCGCCCATGTGGTTCCATTTACCAACCTTCTCTCCTTCGAAAATGAACCCAGAATTGCTTGCTTCTGTAGTTTCTGCTGGGGCTGCTACACTCCCTGACATATCTTTGCGAAAGCTAGGTTATGCTCTGCATGAAGCTTCGAGGATGGGCCAATCAAAATCCTTCGAAGAGGACAACACCGCCATCAGAGATCTCCAACATCTACAGACGTTCCTTCTGCAGCTCAAAGTTGGTATGTGGAGTGGCATCAGCCGGAAGATGGAGATCGCGGAAAGCTTTCTCCAGCCTCTTATGACTATGCTCCGCCGCGGTGGTCGCTTTCGTCGGTCGACATGGAAAGAAATTAGTCCGTCGCCCGACGACCAAGGCTCAGTTTTAGAAAGCAAATGGCTGAGTTGGGTCGGTCAAGAATCCTTTCTCCGCTTGGTTCACCGAGCCTTTGAGTTTGATCGGCAGTCCTCGATGGCACTCCTCAAGCCACCGCTTATATCCTATGCCGAGATGCAACTTCCTCTACCGAGTGCGAACACGTTGTGGCAGGCCAAGAATGCGGCCACCTGGAAGATGGCGTATTTGGAAATGGCTTCAGTGACTACGAAGCGGCCGTCGGCTACCGAGTGTCTATTGAACTTGGAACATCAAGTTCATGATTATGCCAATTCGACGTATCTTCATATGATGTGGGGTCCAATCTGGGAGTATCGCCAGATGTGCGCCTTGACATCTAGATCGCAATCGCAGCCTACCAACAGTCTCATATTATCGTCGCGTTATCAAGAGCTCACAAAGCAGCTTGAAGATTTCAGGCTGAGCACTCCGCCTATGAGCAAGAGTGTTGAGATAACACTAGAGATCATGTTGGTCCATCTCAACGCACCTTTGGACGACATCCAGCTCTTTGCGGGCATCGAAGGGCAGGAAGAGGCACGGGGCGCATACGTTGGTTTGCGGGATTGGGCGAAGACTCCGTCGGCGCGTCAAGCCCTGTGGCACGCTGGCCAAATCCTGCGTGCAGCTGAGGTGCTGCCGAAAGCTCTGCTCAGTAACTTCAACGCCATTGCTGTCTACCATGCGGGGCTCATACTATGGGTCTACGGTATTCTCAAACGCTCTATTACGACGGAACAGGGTCCGGTCGATACGGCTGTCGTTCTCAACGGAGACGACCTGCTGAGCGCCCGAAAGTTCATCACCCTAGACCGGGGCATACCAGCCATCAAGAGTTCCGGATCACAAAATCCCACCCAACTGACCGACGTCTGTGGAGTCATGGATAGCTTGACACAGCTCCTTCGAGCGCATCATGACGCGTCAGAACCATCTCCACCGCTGGTCGGGAACTTGGTACAGTTGTTGGAAGGCCTCCGATCTGCCATCAGATGAGTGACGCGGCTTCCATAACGGCAGTTCAGATTGGAGTTTGCGCGATGGTATCGGACTACACCTTTGACTTTAGTGCGGCATTGGTGGATTGCTGCGATCTTATCAATAGCATCTGGGGATCATAGCTTTCCCGTGACGCGTACGGAGTCAAATTAATATCCGAGAGCAAAGTTAATACTCAAACGTGGTGTTCGCGCTATATTTGCAACTCCCAACCCATGAATATCAAACCCCAGTGAGGACCCAGATCAAGCACCCTCAGTGGTTTCTCCTCTACTTGCGTACCCGCTGAATCCGTGTCTATCTGCCGCATGCGCAGCGCTGTCACAGTAGCAAGGCCGCGCACGTGCTCCACCCGTTCTCCACCTTCAGATCCATACCTTTGGAGCGGAAGATGGTAGATCTAGGGTTAGTCGTATGCCAGTCATATTGGTTTGTGCTGCATACAATTGGCTGTTCGTAGAGACGGTTAGTCGTAACCCCGCAAGTCTTGACGGTCTTGGCCGTATCAAGCAAGGCCTCGGTCACCTCCACATTCCGAATTACCCCATGGGCAGGAAGTCATACTGGGGTCGAGATGCGTCCATGCGTCCAATGAGACAAATTTGAGGCGCGTTTTGGCCGTTCTTATTCGCCGATAACCAAATACTGGGCGTACTCACCGACATGCTTGCAGATGGTGTTGTTCAACCGTGCGGTGTATTTAGATTAGAGTACCATGGCCACAAACACGTCGTGTTGAGCATTGTGAGCATCGCAAATCATCATCGCAACTCCTCTTTTCATCTGCTCCACGAACAGGTAGCCGCCAGCAACCATTATGACTTCTTTGAGAAAGGCATTCAGCCTTTCCAAGGAGGAAGTCAGGAACGCCAGACCACCAGGGACTGCGACCCTCGTCGGTAAGATGCGTCAATTTCTCCTGAAGCTTCCTGGCTAACACGCCCCATCAGAGCATCTCGAATGGACGGCATCGCAAACAAGTCACGATGAGATCCGTCTCGTCCCCCAACCATCAGCCGACCCAGCGGATCCTCTCAACCTTCCGATGTGGCGCAAGATAGCAATCCTAGCCGTCATGTCGATACATCCGTTCGTGGTGAACTTCACCAGTTCATCCATCTCGAGTACTTTGCCGATCTACGCGTCAACAGGCGTGTTTGGTTTCCCACCAAAGTCGTTTTCGCAATTGACGTACTTTATTGCATGCAACATTCTGATGCTGGGCGCATCGAACCTGTGGTGGGTGCCGTTGGCGAACACGTTTGGCCGACGCCCAGTCATTCTAGGCAGCTTATTGCTTCTCGTCTTCTCCAGCATGTGGGCTGGACTTGCTACGAGCTTCGATAGTTTAGTGGCTGCTCGTATCTTCATGGGCATTGGAGGTGCGCCGGCTGATGCTGTGAGCCCGGATGTTGTTGGCGAGATCTTCTTTGTCCATCAACGAGGACGTGCTCTAGTATGTTCATCTCCAGAAACCTCCGCTTGAACCGGCATTAACTGAACAATCTTTAGGCCATCTACACGGTCATGTTGACCTTGGGTTCGCTCCTAGGCGCTGTTGCTGGTGGCTACATTGTCGCGGACATGGGCCTATCCTGGCTTCATTGGATGAACGTCCTACTCTCAGCTATCACCTTCGTCCTCTGCTTAGTATTCCAGGCAGAGACCCTGTACCACCGCAAAGAGAGTATCGTCACATTCGATGATCCAGACAAAGATACTGTTGAGACCAAGGAGAGAGTCACCGTTGCTGATGCTGCTGCGCCGTCTTCCTACCCATCGTACTCGCACATGAAGTCTTTGAGGCTCTTCTCGTACCACCCTGGTCTGATGCGCAACTTGATCGCTCCCTACAAGACGCTCAGGCTACCTGGTGTATGGCTCGTCTCAGCTTGGTACGCCGGATTGGTCGGACTTATTGTTACCATGTCAACTGTTGGTCCGCAACTCGTCGGCGCGCCACCGTATCTCTGGGGAAAAAACGTTGGTTTGATCAACATCGGTGGTGTTTTTGGCGCTTTGATCGGATGTGTAAGTCTCCAACGTGCCTGGCATTAATAGTCACTAACACGCGTCCAGGTCTACACCTACCTCATTGCCGACTTCGCAACCAAACGTCTCGCAAAGAAAGATTCCCACGGTTTCTCCGAGCCCGAATCTCGTCTTGTTACCGCTCTTCCCGCACTTTTCCTCGCCACAAGCGGCTCTCTCATATTCGGTTTCGTAGCGCAGAACCCTTCGCCTACCGGATGGGTAGGTCTCCAATTCGGTTTTGGTCTTGTCGCTCTTGGACTTATGCAAGCGCCTTCTGTTGGCTTCAACTACCTTATTGAGGCTTATGGAGTGCTTGCCGGAGACTGCTTCGTTGCCGTCACGTTCGTTAGGGCTATTGTGAGCTTTGCGTGGACGTTCTTTGTTGGAGAGTGGGTCACACATAAGGGAGCTGCTGAGCCTTTTGGCATCTTTGGGTTGTTGATGGGCCTTTTTGGCTTGCTCACGATTCCCATGTTGATCTGGGGTAAACGGTTGAGGATTTGGACAGCGAAGTGGGTTCCTGAGGGATCAGCTTTGTAGCTTGAAGACCAGGTACATCTCGCTATGACTGCTGGGTAGCTCTGTTATCGCCTTAGGTAGCTTATTGTATGCGACTTACGACAGATGCATACTGTTTTGTCTGACCTGCCTTTACTTCCGCCTATTGTTGTCAGCAATCTGTGGTCAAAACTTCAACTCCTACCATGCGACTGCTCGTGTCAATGACCAGCAAGCTCCGCCCTGCTCTCTACATTGACAGTGCATCAAGTACTCATGTTCCGATAGCACAGCCGTCTTGCGAAATGCGTAATACGATTGAGTTTATAGAAGAGAAAAAGGACGGCATGCATGCTTAGACTTGACTAAAAGTAGCAAATTCAGATAAACGCCCATCTCCTCAAGCCCGCCCTTACGCCGAAAAAGAGCGTCGCACCAATACATGTCAAGATAGGAATACCATACACACCCAAACCAATAAAGATACCTTGTTCAAAATATCCAATTGCAATCGACTCAGCGCGCTTCTTCTCCTCTATCTCTCGTGATGCTTTACTAAGGAGCTCCGTCGCTGCCTTCTTCGATTCCTTGCCTGAAAGAACCTTTGACAATGTCGCCTGTGAAGAAGGTGTTGCGATATATGCGGGTGAAATACGAGTAAAATGCTGGGCAATATATCGCTTCTCAACGTCGATGGGCTGGCAAGATGGAGCTGCCGGACCAAGAAGTAGACGGAAGGGAATGTTGTTTGTGAAGGAAGTATCGGCATTGACGTATTGTGAGAGGTATTTCCCAGTCGACGGGGTGCCGAAGTGATATGCAGCCAGCAGGCTCTTTTGAGGGTCTAGGTCTTCTTCAACAAGGCTAATGGCGTGCTCGAGAGATGTGATGGCTGATACGCTGAAGACGGGTTGTTGGGATTTGGCTGGTAGGGAAGAAAGGTTTGACAGCTCAACAATTGCGCCATTGTCTCCTTGCGTTATGACGTTCAGCTTCCATGACTTGCTTTCTGTAAGCCCTCGGAACGTCTCTGCTACTCGTGACGACTTCTTCTGTTCTCTTGCGTTTGTCGAGCCGTTTGAGATACCACTTGATCCAGCGAGGAAACGAAGTGAGTGTTTCAAAACATGCTCCAAGAAGTCTTTCTTGATGAACTCGTTGACGAGAACTACGTCGGGTGCATACGGTGATGTTCCGCCGAATGCAAAGCGTGCTGTTACTAGCTGTTCGGCTGCTGATGCGAGATCTGCTGTACGGTCTACGATTGCGATGATCTTGTTCCGGGGCGAGACAAGTTGCGAGTATGTTGGTGGACTAATTTGCTTCTCTTGGAAGACTTGTACGCAGGATGATAGCGAGTCCGAGGAGGGATCAGAAGAGATGACAGCAAAGGTATCTGATTCGAGGGCTTCGGTGAGCAGCTTCCGAAGTAAAGAGGGGAGTGCGCGAAGGTTGTTTTCGAGCTACAGTAAGGTTAGACAACGAGAAGTATATCGAGAATGATAGACCGTACCTTCAGTGCAATACAGTTGCCCGCCGAAAGAGCCGCGCTCAAAGGTGCGATGACTGAGAAAAACGGCGTATGAACTCTTTGTGGCTCAATATACGCAACACCCCAAGGCTCTCTCTTATCACTGGCGTCTTTTCCGTGTGTGATTCTATACTCGGCTTCCAATTCTTTGGCTGCGTCGATCGAACCATAATGTTCTTTGACTACATCCAGCGCAAGCGCAACCTCGGTAGTTGCCTCTTCGTCTGATACATGTGTGTCTTGCTTCAACGCATCTCTGATCGCATTGCTGTTGTTACGCAGCGCATCGTGGAGAGATTTGAGTTGCTTCAGACGGAATAGAGCGTTGTGCGCCCGCTGCGACAATGCGGTTGCTTGGAGTTCCGCAAGCGCGACTTCTGGGGTGATGGGTGACGACATTACGAATCGTAAGAACAAACTGAACAACAACGACTAGACCTGGAAAAAGCAGAGCCTGCAGTTCGATATGTAATTTCTAGGAAGTCAGCGGATGTTTCTGAGACGATAGTAAGCCCAACGCGTCGGTAATGTTGTCCGATGTACACGGGCGTGAGCGGACGTGATATTCCCCTCCACATTCCGACCATTGCCATTTCCTGCCCCAGCTTCTCCGCGTTTCCAATCAACGGGCCGCAAGGGACGCGTACTTTCTTTCCACATTTCTCGACATAGTAAACTCGCTGATACCACAGTCGTCGTCGCGACTGCTATCTTCGCCTTTCTGTCGTCGCCCTGCTGTTCTTACCATCGCCGCCATGTCAGTAACAACAACTGCCAACCCAATCCATTACAATCTCGAGGCGGTCCTTGCAGACTACGACCTCCACCACACCGAAGAACTCGATACAAGCCTCAACGCACATCCCGCCCCGCCAACTTCATCCACAACATCACAATCGCAGCAGAACCCAAGCGACTGGCCGACGGAGCATCGCCGTGTGCCTGCATACCGGCCAATCAATACCGAGCTCGACCAGAGCGAGCGAAGAGTCTACCTCAATGGCATCGAACAAGCATTTGTTGGTGTGATGTTTACAGGTGTATTCTTGGAATCGGTGAGTAGTTCTTACTATATTGAGGTTGGGGGAAGGATTTATGCTGACGGCCTTGTGTAGACAGTCTCCAAAGTATGGCGTAATACTCTGGGAAGATTGTGGAATGTTGGGTACAAGCTTGGTGGAGAGTGGTAGTTTGCTTGCGCATGTAGTTTTGATGCACATTCTTTTTTCGTTCAGACACTGCAATTCATTATTCTTCCAAGATTTCTTATCTAACCACAAGGCACAGTTCTGCAATGCTGCAAGTGCCCATGACTACGAAAAGCTCGCTTCGACCTTTTCCGCCAATATATGCACGCTATTTGCTGACCCTGATGTGCCAGCACCGCCCCATGCAAGCCTTCTCCGCTCGGCATCTACCACTACCACCACTACAACGCGCATATTCTAATCAGCCTAAGATGGCGCATTCCACATCCAGTAGCATTTACGGATCCCGAGGAACGCTTTGCAGCTGCCACACATTTCCTACACCACCCCACATATATCCATAGACCGGGAAGTGGAGGGTCATCCATGACCTGGAATCGGTTGGCGCTCAAGGCAGTGCAGGAATGGCTTGCTAAGCGGTAGACGCAGATGACCTCTAGTTGAGAAGAGCTGTCTCAAAACCCCTTGCTGAACTGTGAAACACATTCCTCACTTCCACTTTCTTGTGCTTTGTAGTTGGGATTCGCAAACCTTCTTCAGCGCTCCTCGTTGCCAACACCCATCATGGACTTCACAAACGGCACCAATGGCCACACAAATGGTGTCAACGGCCACCACAAAGCCATCGAGCCCCTCAAGATAACGATATGCGGTGCCGGCATCGGCGGCCTCAGCGCAGCAATATTCTTGCGCCAACGCGGACACAAGGTGACCCTTCTCGAAGCCTCGCGCTTCTCCAACGAACTCGGCGCAGCCGTGCACCTTGCGCCCAACGCCAACGGTCTTCTCAGGCGTATGGGTCTCATCCCCGAAGCCCATGGCGCGATAACATGCAAGCTTCTGACACAGCTCTTTCCGAACGGAAAAGAGATGTTTACTGTTCCCCTAGAGAAGGATGCGGGTCGATGGCAGCACCCGTGGCAACTTGCGCATCGCGTGAGTCTGCACAGTGAATTGAAGAGGCTGGCTACGTGTGAGGAAGGGAAGGGTACGCCAGCGGACTTAAGACTGAGGAGTAAGGTTGTGGATGTCGATGCCAAAGCTGGTATTGTTACGCTAGAAGATGGAAGTACGATCGAGAGTGATGTCGTTGTTGGAGCAGATGGCGTACATTCGAAAACACGACCACGGATTCCAGGCGCGGAGAATATCAAGACGTTTGGAAGTGGCAAGTCAGCATTCAGGTTCCTGATTCCGAGACAGAGGGCGCTGGATGAAGAAATGACGCGTAAGTTTGCGGAAAACGAGGGTCATCTCATTATGATCTTTGCGAGGGATAGGAGGGTTGTTGTGTATCCGACGAGCGATAACACGTTGTTGAATTTTGTCTGTATCCATCCGACAAGCGAGAGCCAAATCGACCCTCAAGAGCCTGGGAGCAGCGATTGGCAGAACCAGGGTAATTTGAACAAAATGTTGGAGGTTTACAAGGACTTTGAGCCGGCGGTGCTCAAGCTGCTGAGTATGGCGGATGAGGAGACGTTGAAGGTATGGGAGCTGTTGGATATGGAGCAGCTGCCGACTTGGACGGATGAGAAATTGGTCTTGATTGGCGATGCTGCGCATCCTTTTACTCCTCGTAAGTCCTGTTCCTTCTCTTTCTCGGCCTCGATGAGAATCCAGCTGACAGAACCGCAGACCAAGGACAAGGAGCAGGCCAAGCCATCGAAGACGCTGCATCCCTCGCAGTTATGCTTCCCCTAGGCACACCCCTAGACTCCATTCCCGCGCGACTGAAACTCTACGAGAAGTGCAGATACGAGCGCGCATCTGCCATCCAAGAATACTCCCGCCTAGCAGGAAAAGATCTCGGCAGCGGTCCACCCGTCGACCCGCAAAAGTTCACAAACTACAACTTCGGCCACGACGAATGGAACTACTCCAGCCAGATGCTCCGTAAATGGGAGTGGGAGAACAAGAAAGGTCTGTTTTGGCGGATGCCCACGGCCTTTGGTCCTATGCCAGGGCCAAGACAGGATTTCCTTGGTAGACCGAGAGACGGATCGAAAGCTACGTTCAAGACTGCTAGTATCAAGTTCAAGACGAGCAGGACAGTGCTGGAGAATCTCCTCCCTACAGAGAAGTTGAGGTTTGCTGCCGCGAATACTACTGCATATGCGACGTTTGCTGTGACGCAGCTGGACAATCTGGACTGGCTTGGTGGCAGGGGATACAGTCATTTCGGATTGTACATCCACGGCATTCAGCACACAAACGCCAGTGGAGGGACAGTGACAGGCACCTATCTGCCCGTCCTGTTCGAGAACCTGGCTGACCCCATACTGAGTGGCAGAGAAGAACTAGGTTTCCCCAAGCTCTTCGCCGAGCTCAACCTGAAGAAGGACCACAGCAACTGGGCGCTTGACGCGGGCTGGATGTCATCGAAGTTCTGCAGCATGTCGTTGTCGGGTCTACAAGAGGCTTCGGCGACGAACGATGCAGCGCCGGCACCATTCCCTCCTCTTCCAAAAGATGAGGGCTTGTTGTTCCATAAGTATGTTCCCGCTACTGGTAGTACAGGCAGCAAGGAGCGTGGGCAGGCAGACGTGGAGTACACAGCTTTCCTGCCAGGTGAGGAGGACGCGAGGACCGTGGAGAAGAAGGTTGAGCGTACGTTGAAGGCAAGCTCAGCCGAGATCGCTTTCGATGCCCTTGACTGGAAAGCCCTGCCAACACTGCATCACATCGTCGAGAGACTGCAGGAAGTGCCAGTGTATGAAGTTGTCGAGGCCAAGGTAGTTGAAGGTACCGGAGTGAGCGACGTGAGCTCGGTATGTAAGTTAGCATGAGCGGCTCCGCCATGTACGACTGGTAGCACGCCATTCGTACAACCATAGCAGGTTGCAGGGGGTACTGTACATAGCTGTCAGCATATTTCACCGTTATCATAATGTCAACGATAACATCCAGAGAATCCCCACCTGCAATATTGTAATGCCTTTCATTCTCATCTATTAAAGGCCTCCCAACTCCTACAAATGAGACACGCTTTGTCCTGAAGCTATGTATAAATGGGGTATTACCAAGTCCATCTATCAATGCCGCCAAAACACCATACTACCATATCAATGCAAATACATAGGAAATAATGCTCAATGTGAAGTGAGCATGAATGGCCCTAGTGGCCATCCATCAGCATGTCGTCGCCGGAATCTGGAAACATGGAATCTGTACTGGACTTGTTGACCGCCTTCTTGAACACCTTCGCTAGGATGCCTTCTAACCCCGCCGGCGGTTCCGGCGATTTACTGAAATTTAGCCAAGAAGGGCGAGCGTATGCCTCGTCATCCGGGATATACTCGCCTAAGGCTCGGTCAGTCGCAGACCTTGCATGAAGGTCATCGATGTAGACACGGGCCTATGAAGTACGTAGGAAGAGTCTACGCACTCGCAACGCCTAGACCTTCGCAGAGCCTCTTCCTCCATTGTCCACAGACATCCTCGAAACCATCTAGCACGTTTGCGCAAGCCCGTTTTGCCTCCCTTTCCTTGAGTCGTCGGTCCCAGTCCCCGCGCTCGATATATTCCTGTCCTTCCTGTGTCTTCTCGTTGTCACGTTTCCAGTCCTGTAGCTGTTCTTTGCTAACCTTGAGCCGCCTAGCAGCATTCGCTGTCGTTTGCCGAGACATGTGTAGAGTATCGCTGACGTTTGAGAGGTGTTGGATGAGCTCACGGCTGGAGTGGGTGAGATGGGAGAGCGCGACGAGCGGATCGGCGGAAGGGTGGGGCAGCAGCTCCAGTGTGGATTGTATGATAGGGAGGAGTTCTTCGATATCATCTGGGTCTGGAAGGATGGCAAATGGGCCTGAAAGGGACACGGCAATGGAGGTAAGAGTACGCGACTGGTGTGTCAGATGCGTTGTCAGGGCTTCGTGGGCAGTCTTTAACCTTGGGGTTTGTTAGTGACATGGAGGGAAATGCCTACAGATGTGAACCTACCTCGTCGCACCGTTCTCCATGGCGATCTGGCTGCCGAGATCGCGAAGTTGTTGCGTGACCCTCTTGACTACCTCGTCTGATGCGCTTCCATTCTCCTCGATGCCTCTCCGTGCCAGACTCTCAATCGCAGCCATGCGCGCGTCGAGCGCGGGCGAGATGCCCTCGTTCTCCAGGTCCGAGTCGTCGCCATAGTCGGAGCCGTCGTACAGCGACCGTTGCCTTGCGTGCTTTTTCGTCTTAACGGCCGACCCTGGACTCAGGCGCGCGGGCGATGAGTCCTGCATGGCAACCCCACTATCCCGTACGCCGTTGAGGCTAGCTGCGCTGTCTACGCCGTACGAGCCATCGTGTTCTACAGCAGTGCCGATGTTTTGGTCGTGTGCTTCGTCGGGTTCCTCGCCATATTCGCCATCCATGCCCTCTTCTTCGTCGTCGTCCCACACCTCGCCGAGTTCGTCGGCCAAGTTGCCCAGGCCATTGCCGTCTCCTCCGCCGTCGAATTGGTGTGCGGGGCTGTGTTCGAATTCATGCGATGAGCGCGGCGTTATAGGCGAGTAGCCCGAGGAGCGGCGGTTGAACGACTGCCGTCTCGACTGTGTGTTGAGGGACATGTCCAGGCTGGAGGGGTGTCGACGGTGCGACGACGTCGGGCGGTGCGTGGGGGTGCTGGGAGGAGACGACATGGTGGTGCGGGTGTATTGGAAGTGTCGCGGTGGTTCAGAACACGTCAAAGGCTCGTCAAGTCGCGGAAATGAACAAAGGCGGACCGCATTGGGAGGGCCCCAGTCGGGGATCTACACGGGAGTGAACCAGGGAGCGCAATGCGCTTCTGCTTCTCAGCAATCCCAAAGACGCGGCTCTGCCCTGACAAGCCACAGAAAGTTTATTTACACGGGAAAAGGAGGTCTCTGTGGTGGGGTAGCGGCGTGTTGGCGGCCTGCGAGGTACCAGCGAGGGTGCGGTCTTGGCTGCGGAGACGCCTCAGTGGTGTAGGGCTGGCTGCAATGCGTGATGATGCTAATTAGTCGCTTGTGGCGCGTAGTGATGGCTGATGGAGCGAGCGACGAAGGCTGCATGGAAAAAACGATCACGGAGCCTCGGTTCCTTGTCCAGCCGGAAAGCTTGGTGTTTGTTGACGCTTGTTGTGGTGTGTTTGGCCTCTGTAATTAGTGGCTTGCGCGAATGACCTGTGGACCCTTCTTTGGCAAGTAGGTGAAAGGGGTATGGGTATCCTTGTACCAGTCGTCGATACGATGACGCTCGTATGTCGTTAATATCCCGACATAACGAAGGAGCACTATACATCGATAGACATGGATTGAGCATTTAAAAGGACATTTTGATTCCGGGTGCAGATCTAACACGACCTTTTCCACCACAACGCTCCCCAATGCCATGTATAACGTCAAACCCCAAACACTGTCGTAAGATGGGTATCGCGTACGATCATCCTAAACCGAGGCGGACACACACATGCTCACAAACTCCAAGACGCCAAAACATGACTTTGCCCATGCTGCTGCAAAGTACTGACATATGCCCACCTATGCGATTCAAAGCCCACAGAACTCCTGTAATGCCCTCAAAATGCCGCTGAAATAGATAACGGGTGTGTATGCAATCATTGCGCGGGTTTGGTCTGCTCGAGAGTCGCTATCTGCTTCTTGAGCTGCGTGAAGAAGTCTTGGCCGGTGGGCATGAGGTGTGACATGGTGCCTGTTCATGTCAGCATTGTAGTCTTCCAGTGTGGTGTTTCCTTGACGCCTCACCTCCTTTGCCCCACGCGCCGCTGCTACGGTTTGAGACGGAATCGCCAGGGACCTTGTGGTACACCGAGGGTTGATCTGGAAGCAAGTCAGCCTTTTGAACATGTGCGCGGTTCTTGGAGGCTCGTACTGGCTGTGCTCTCAATGTATTCTACAGTCGATTAGCCCTGTCATGTACTATATTTCAGCGGCTTAGCAGACTTACTCTTCTTGAGGAATTGCTTGACCTCATCTGCGTTGAACTCCTTCACAGGTACGTGCTCTGGCTGGGCCTGAGCTGGTGCAGCTGCGGGGCCTGTTCCCTTCCCTTGCTTGGCCCCCCATACGTTCGCCGTGGGCGCTGGCATAGCCTGCTGCCGTCCCGCATTGTCCTTGGTGGGGGTGTTTGCGCCCGAGTTGGAGTTGCGGTTGGCTTGACCCTGCCGTCGCCAGCTGTGTCAATCGTCAGTATGCGTAAGCTCCCCAAACTTCACATGCGCCTAGTCTCTGACGTACCGATTTTCACCCGGGCCACTCATCTTTGGTACGAAGCAACGGTGGAGGCGAGGAGGGGTCGAGTCGAGAAGATATAAAATGGCGGAAGCTCTCCAATCGCTCTTGCAGCGCGCGAACTGTGTCTGTGCTGCAACACCTAAACCAATGGGGCCTCCTATGTCATATTATAGCTGTGACCTTCTTTCGGCCAACTCACCAGTGCTAGCCGCTTTCAGTTCTATTTCAACACTATTCACAGCCATTATCCAACGACTGGATGGGGATTTTTGGGCCCGTCTAATCCGTGCCGATGTGTTGTACATCACGTGTGCCTTCCGCCAATCGAATCTGTGACCGGATATCTTGACCCTACGCTAGCAGCAGGGTTCTCAACACCACCATCCTTGGACAACTCCACGGTAACAGCTCCTAATGGACGAACATGTTCTTTGTCTTTATTCTTTTCTCACCGTCATTCTTCATGACCCGCCCGGAATAGAGTCGGGCGGCTTGACAAGGGAAGAGGTTGGGAGATTGTGTCATCATCCCGAGCACAGTCGCCGAGATTGTTGCCCGAGGCATCGTTCCGGAGCCTCAATGCAGGACATGAAGACGAACGCTTTCATTTCACACGGCCGTGGCGAACAAGTTCACATCGGCACGGACAAGCAAGATATTTGATACACTTCATACACTAAACCCCAAGAGTGGCCTGTGAAACATCTATTGACCTGGCAGTCGTCCACAAGATGCTACAATATCATTGCAACGTATAGTCCTACCGGGAATCATTTACGCATGGCTGTTATTGTAATGGACGACTATCACCTCTGAAAGACAGTAAGACAGTATTGTCACGTCGTCTGTCGATATGCGTAGGTGAGAGACATGCAGATGATAGTGTTGCCTCATTCTTTCCTTCTGGTTGTATATAAGTCTGCTATTTCACTTCTCGTCCCTTCTCACACGACTTGCCGTACACTCTCGTTGAGTCGGTCATCTTGATCTACCTCTTCATCTGGAAAAAGTCCCAAGCGCTTCGGTCGCCTTCGAACCGACAGAGAAGAAGTTTAGAGATGCGGACCCTACTGGTCAAGTTCGCAGGCCTCGCGCTCTATATTCACGAACTACAGTCAAGCACACTTGTACTGACCCACGCGCGTCCCAACAAAGAGCCAAGGGTACATAAAGTATATAGAGAAGATTTCGAGGATGCCGCAGATGAACTGGAAGCCGAAGCTCTTGGAGAATTGGAGCCCGGTATCGAAGCAAGTGTCGAAGGTCTAAGCCTGCGCTTGATCAAGAACGATGGAGTGCTCAATATTGCTTACGAAGGTAAGGATGGTGAGGTCGTGGAATGGAAATTCCAAGGCTTGACAAGTATGATGGCGTCTGCGTCTACACAGACAGTATCTGAGGCCCAATCGAAGCTATCCACCAGTACGATTCGTACTGTGGCTACTGATCCCACTCCGCAACGCATGATCTGGCCTTCACAATCAGAACTCAGCGGCATATCGACCATCGAAACTCGACCTATCGAGACTCCTTTCAAGGGTGAAGAGGAAGCTCCAGCACGGGCAGCAACTGGAGCAGGAGAAAACGAACTCAAGCGCAAAGCGACCCAAGATATGGAGCGAGCTTTTCCACACAAACGCGCAAAAAGCTCACACAACTCCCCGCCATGGCCCAATCACTTATATATGACATGCTTCCGCACCCAACCTATTTCCAAGAGCGACATTGGAACGTTGCATATTGACCTTGTAGAAGGCACGGCGTGGTTCGAGGGCTGGCATGGAAAGGAGGACACCCGAGTATTTGAGAGGAAGCAGATCAATCTTCGATGTCATTCAAGTAAGTTTTGCCATGTGAGACTCTGGAAGCTCTCATATTCATGAATAAGCACCGCGTTCTTCGTACTATACAAGCATAGATATAGTGGAAACTAACACATAAGATTAGCAAGCGTTCATTACTGTTCTCACAACCTCAACCTACGGACAGACAAATCAACCCATTATCTCAAGATCGTTAGACTCAATACGAAGAATGAATGGACCTCCGTGTTCACAGCGGACTGTTCCGCTCCCGGATGGCAGACATGGGGTTCAGATACAGACACCAGTCCAGGTCCTAACCCTGCTCTCACAGCCAAAGAGTGGATCAAAGTTAGGGAAGCCGGCATGATAAACAACATCCCCCGATCCCGTCCCACGTGGACATCAACGCACATCTTACCTTCCAAAATCGTCGACGCGCTTGTTCACTGCGTCGACCGAGCGTCACGACATCAAGCTGTTCATGACCCAGACGTTGATCACGAGCTAGAGGAACAGTGGGATCGATTTGCATCTCTTGAGGCAACAGGGCGTTTGACTACAAACGACATGGATAAGTGGAGGTTCACGACCGAGGAATCAGGGAAGAGAAAGGCTCTCAAGAGAACGTTTAGGACAGTGGAGTGAGAAGACAGGCCCGATCACAATGTCAAGCATTGCATCTGTCTAGCGGATGCGGCCGAGGAAGATCATATGGATCAGGGAAATGAGATCTAGTCGTCTTCTCTGGATTACTGCAAGATGCTGGCCATCCAAGGAAAATCGTTTGATTTTATCGAGTACGATTGCGAGGTCGACGAATGGTTGCGTGCATTTCAGTGCAGATTGCGTCGACCTTTGGAAGTTAGGCAGTTGATTTGCATTCTTTTCGGAAGTACTCTAGCTTTGTAGAAGCTGAGCAAAAGTGCATTTTTATCACTTGCATTTTATAGGATTAATCACAAGCAGCTTTGAAGACGGCACTCCTACTCTGAATTGCATCAATCTCCTTAGAAACCTAAAGATCCTTAGCTCGGCTAAAGATGATGCGTCTCGAAACTACGAGGAAGACACTGTAAGAAAATAAAGAGGGCGAGGACCACGGTGGGAACGAAAGTAAAGGTGGCTGAGTTAAAAATGAGGTGACGAAGTTGTACTATGCAGATATACAATTCATTTACATAAATAGTTGATCATATACAACTCACAGAGTACCTTTAGCTCAAATTGCAATTTCAATTCAAATTACCCATTGTCAAATAGCAAGCGCTGCTTGTACAGTATATGGAATAGTCATTGGTATACATCGAATTGCATGCGATTGCGCATGAAGAAACTCACCCAGCCCACTATCCAAGTAGACATATCTACGCCGGCGCTGCTTCCCCATTGTCACCCCCATTCTTACTGCCACCCGTCAAATTCGACATGAACTCCTGATACCTAAATACCTCTGTCCGATTCCCCAAACTCTTCCCACCTTTAGCAAAAGCCCTCCGCCCACTAAACCCCTCAATAACCATGTCAATCTCCTTCTCTGTCAACTTCTTCTCGCCATGCTCAGGCGCGGTATGCAGTAACGCATCCTTCAACTCGGCCAAATCAATCTGGCCATCATCGTTATCATCAAACGCCTCGAAGGCAGCAGTGAGCTCGTTCTGGTGAGACAGATTGCCGAGGAGGTCGGAGAGCGTGGTTAGGTAAGTGGCTAGGTTGATGGATTGGGCGCCGCCGAAGTAGGAAGAGAGCTGGGAGGGGGTGGCGGAGAGACCGAGCTGCGACAGCATGTCTGCGACGTCGGCGGCATTGACGTGACCGTCGTCGTCACGGTCCATTACGCTGAAGGATTCGCGCATGCTGTGGAGGAGGGGAGGTGGGAGCTTAGAGAGAGCGTCGCTGGAGGCCATGCGTTGCATGGGAGCAGGGCGAACTGCTGGCTTGTAGGTCTCGACCGGTTTATAGGTTTCGACTGGTTTGTATGTTTCAACTGGCTTATAGGTCTCAACTGGCTTGTAGGTCTCGACGGGCTTGGGACTCTCTACTGCCTTGTAGCTCTCCACCGGAATCCAAGTCTCAGCTGGCTTGTGTGCCTCGACCGGTGTGTAGTCATCTACGGGTTTGAAATCCTCGACCGGCGACTCAGTATTCTCTACGGGTGGTGACTTCCTCCTGCTGAAAAGAGGAGGTGGCGTGTCGTCCCTCGCGACGCCCTCAAATTTGGCTGCAATGGACGCTGTGCTTAATGGGCGCACAGTCATTTGCGATGACGAGGATACATTCCGTGTTGGGGAGACCTGGCGCGCAGGAGAAAGATTCCGGGCAGGTGAGGTGGGCTCTGGAGTGCCTGACTCCCTTCTTGTGTTCAGCCATGACGGCGGGTTTTGCGATGGGATGCCTCCAATGGATAGGCGGTTGGGTGTATGTGCAGGAGAGGTCGGTGTCTCTTTTGGCTTGAGAGGGGAGCTGTTTGGCGTCGATGGTCGCAGGTTACCCGGTGAGCTTTGTCTGATGGAGCCCGGTCTTCTAAAAGGCGACTGGCGTGTGCTGTTGAAGGCGAGAGGGGAGGGCTTGTAAGGCGTTGGTGTTTCCGACTGCATGTCTTAGCTGTGTCCCAGTGATGATGCATGAAGGCATACGTACCATTGTGGTATATTCCTTTTGTAGAATCAGGGTTCGCGATGTCACTGTTGGCCGCTCGTCGCGTTGTTTGGTGTTGATACTGGAGATGGCCTAGCAACGACCCCTGCCATTGGGCTAATCGATAAGACATGGACGGAGATGCAGGGTCCGCCTTCACTCGCCTGGGGCAGCATCATATGCGAGTCACATGCATAGTCACCGCTTTGAAAATTGTCCTGTAGCCATTCACGCCTTCTTTACACATGTCCCCTATCCATTTACCGCACTTCCTCCACACGGCACCATGTTGTTTCGGAACGGTTACATTAGGTTCCCCTAGCGCCGTCGATCCATAATGTAGTATCCATAGTCGCCAGGTACTCGTACTGAAGATGGAGACACTCATGGCTGAAGTAATCGCACAGCGGCCAAACGGTCCTAATGCCGCCCAGCCTGTATCTCTGCAGCGTCAGCCGTCCTTCTCCTCGTTCCCTCCCTCGCGCTCGCCCTCTACCCGCAATGGCCACAACCACAAAGCTCGCTCCCCGCAGCCCCCCATGGTCCGCGAGGGCGACGAAGACTCGATACAGTCCTCGCACGACTCGTCGCATCAGTCCTCCATGCAGGCCTTGCCCAGAGGCGGTATGAAGCTGCGCTCGCAATATCCTGCCGATGCAATTGAGAACCATGTCGAGTACATACTTGTCGCCGCCTTCGACATCGACCGCGGCTCCATCATGGAACACCAGTACCCGGCGGCAATCAGTGGAGACGAGACTATGCTGGCTGAGCTCATGTTGCCCGATCAGGCCCATGTCCGAAGCCAAGACTGGACCATCTTCTTCCTACACAAGGACACCACCGCCGAAGAGGAGGAGCGCGAGGCCAGGAGAGAGCGCCGAAGGAGAAGGCGGCGGCGGAAAGAGGGCCTGGACGACGAAGACGACGCGACTGCCGATACCGAAGAGCAAGACGACGACTACGACGATGAGGACGACGACACCGAGAGCGAAGGAGAGCTGGACTCTGATGGGCCACCGCTGGTCTATGTCTTGAACTTGGTCAACACCAAGCAAGATAACACGGTGAAGAGGTAGGACGAGCACCACCGTCTACTTGACATGACTGACACTACGTAGAGGCGCCATCGTAAAAGCCATGGCGATATGCACGCGACACCCTTTCTTGCACATATACAAGCCCCTGTTGCTGCTGGCCCTCGAAGAGTACTTCAGGGCACCCGTCCTCGAAACTCTAGAATCCCTGTACAACTCTCTCAACGCCATGGACCTGTCGCTGCTGCCGCGACTATCCCCTCTAGAGAACTTTGTGCTTGGCGCTAGTGATGCCAAAGACATGTTCGTCGAGAAGTTTGAGCTCATGGTCCGGCAGCGGAAGAAGCTCGACGCAGCAAGAGACTCTGTTGAAACCTCGTCCGATCCTCAATCGCGGAAGAAGACATACACGGTTCCACGGGACACGCATGAGTTTGAATCCAAGATCAATTACAACGGCATTCCCGTCCCCGTCAAGATACCTACCGCTTTGAGTCCTGAGACAGTGGGCGACTTTTCCCTGATCAAGCTTATCCAAACGTTCTCCACCCCTCATGCGACACAACCGCAGCCCTTTGCTCTACATCCGCACCTGACCACGAGCGGTGCCTACACTCATCCCATCATTGTCCTTGTCAATGCACTCCTCACCCAGAAGCGCATCATCTTTATCGGACATAACCAACCTTCAGGAGAAGTCGCAGAGGCCGTATTGGCAGCATGTGCTTTAGCCTCTGGTGGCATCCTCCGCGGCTTCGTTCGACATGCCTTCCCGTACACCGATCTCACCAAAGTAGACGACTTGCTCAAGGTCCCTGGCTTCATCGCTGGCGTCACCAACCCTGCATTCTCTTACAAGCCCGAATGGTGGGACCTAATATGTGACCTACCCACTGGTCGCATGAAGATCAGCAATCGCATTGAGGCGGCTTCACCAACAGAAGGCTCCATGTTCTTCCAGCAGCAGGGCCTCCCTTTGAATGGGCCAGGCGCGCCACCGGCCAACGGCATCGACGCAACCGGTGACACTCAATTCATGGAAAAACTCCTCGAAAGCATCGCCAACCGCCACGGTGAGAATGCTATTCGAGCCAAATGGCGCTCGTGGGTGTTGAAGTTCACCCGCATTGCGGCGGCGTTTGAAGAAACTGTCTACGGCGCCTCTGCACTGTACATTGGCTCTCACGAGACCGATGTCGGCGGATATGGTGTCTCTGGACATGGCTACGTATGGCCAGATGAAGGTCACAAGCTTCGAGAACTCGCTGCAAACGTGCACCGTATCGAGGGCTGGCGCAACACAAGAAGCTATTACAGTTGCGTCCAGGATCTGGCGAGGCACTGGAATAAGAGACCAGTGCGCGGTCTGGATATGGCCCATCAGCACGACAAGTTGCGCTGCTTGAAACTCTCACATGATCAATCGGCGGCCATCTACCTTGCATTGGCGCGATGCGTTGAAGAAGCGGGTGAGCACAGTGAGAGTAAGAATGCCTCTTCGAGCGACCTGTCCTCCATGGCCCAGTCACTCACAATCGCAAATGACCATGAGCGTAAAATGAGCTCCCAACTCCAGTATGAGACTATTCTGCAGCTGCTTTGTGTCATCCCAGATGCTGGTCTCTTCTACCTTAGCTTGGGCCTGTTTCACCCTAGACAAGATGTCAGAATGGCCGTTGTTAGGTTACTAGAGAGGATCATGGATCACTCTGCTGGCCGACACTACTGGGGTCAGCTAGGGCGCTTCGCTAAATTGGCCTTCTTTAGAGTGAAGAGGGAGGAAGCACAGAAGTAATCGCGAACATGATACTGTTGGATCGAACCACGGGTATAGTTTGTTCATGGAGTTTTGATATGCTGTTTGTATATGATGTAACGTAGACGTCTGATTAAATGAAATGTACACACATGGTCTCCATCAACAGACTAGTCGCCATGCAGTAAAGTGATGTTTACAGCTATCGATAATACCAGACACGCTACGAACCGTTGTACGCACGCGCATCCCTGCATCACATCTTAATCTCCGCCTAAAGACATACTCGCCCAAAATTTCCCGCCGCGACCCCTCGAATGCGCCCAGGCTAGTCATCGTGTCGCAACGCCCGTCTCGCTCTCCCCACACCCTCGATCGTCCATTTTTGCAGTCTGTACACCAATTGGACAGCAGCAATGTCTTCAAAACCAACAATCGAACCCCCAGCTATCAAAAAACGCGGTCGCCCGAAGAAAGTCGTAGCCGAGGATGCGGGGACAACACCAGAAGTCGCAGCGAGCAAGGCGGCTGTGAAGAAGGCGGCCGCGAAACCAAGCACAAAGGAGAAGGTTGTGGAAGTCAAGAAAGAGAAGAAGGTGGCTACGAAAAGCGGGAAGACTACTCCCACTACTACTGCGACTGTTGCTGCGGGGAAGAAGATTGCGCCCAAGTCAGCAATTGCGCCAGCACAAGCTACGCCCGTCACGCCGTCCACGAGCAAGATATTAGAGGAAGTGGAAGCTAAAGGAACGCTGAAGAAGGCAAAACAGCCAGAAAAGGTCGTAGAGAAAGAAGCCGAAGCAAGTGTACAAGACACGAGGAAAACCGCGCCGTCGTCACAATCCCCAGAAACATCATCACCAAAGACTCAATCCTTACAATCGAAACCAACTCCACCCACAACTGCGTCCTTGTCGAATAACAAAACAACCTCAAACACGGCTTCAAGGACAACAACGACCATTCCACTCCCTTCGGCCCCCAAAATCGCCCCCTCACCCGTCTACCCAGCGACTCCAAAACCTACAACCTCTCGTCCACACAATCCCTACCCTTCCATTCGACCCTCGCCATCACAGCCACAACCTCGTCCACCGCCCTCTCCATACCAGAAGCAACACCCTACGCGCATAATAGAACCCACGCCCGACATCCGCCTCCCGCCCAAGTACAAACCTGCGGCGCGTAGGGTGACGGCGATAATAGTGGGTTTACCCATTATTTTTGTAGTGGGGTATGAGTTGTTCGAGCGGTGGAGGGGCAAAGACGTTAGGAAGAAGTTTGTCGAGGACAGGGAGGTTTTGAAACAAATAGACAGAGAGAGGGAGAGGCAAGAAGGCAAGTAAGGGCATGTTAATCAATGATGGAACGAGCTTAATGTGGTAATTTGTACTTTTAACAATCTATATCAACTCTTCGTCTTGTCTTGTTTGTATAGGGAAAAAGAAAGAGTACACGTGTATCGAGTCCTGGGGTATCGTCGCTCTTCTCCATATTCCCTCATTCCTTTCCATCTCTCTTCTCAATCTGCTCTCCTGTGGTGTGCTCAAAGCCTGTGACTATGCACTATACATCCCCTTCACCCACACTATCTTAACGAAAACAAAAGAGAACCTATGTAAAGATTGCTGAAGCGCGGAGAAGGCGCATAAAATATATACGAGAAAGGTGCCATACGAGAAACAAATGTGGATGAGCCCGTGGAGACGTCTAGCAGAGGCAAGAAGAGCCTACACATAGCTCTTCTTTCTCAGAAGCATCCCCCTAGTCCCCGATGCGTCAACCGGCAAACCCAACCCCAGACCCGCTCCACTACTCCGTCGACTACCCGGTCTACTAGTCGCTGGAGACCGTGTCATATTCGTAGCCACGGGTTCGACGTCCAACACAGGAGGACCAACACTAACATCTGGTGTTGCTGGTCCAGGAGGATGGAAAAGACGTTTATACCGCAACTCAGGGCTACTAGGTACGTTTGGATTAGATGAATGCCTCGCGGTAGACGTCATGGTGAGATTGAGAATTGTACCCGTGCGACGACTCAAGGGATTTTGAGTAGGCGGTAGTGGCGTGGGATGTGAGGTGATGGGTTGCGGCTGCGCTTGCATGGTAGCTTGGGGGGTTGAAGGCCAGAGGGTGGGAGTGTTGATTGTGGGTGATGTGGCGGGTGAAGGAGAGGAGAGTCTAGATGTGGTGTCCGACTCGGGATCGGCAAAGTAGTCATGGTCCGAGGTGTCGTTGGTGGAGGACATGGGGTCTAGTTGGATCGTCTCGGTCCATTGTCGTTTGAACTTGTTTGTGCCATTGGCTTGCTTTGGAACGGAAAGCGGTTGGTTGGCTGCTTTTAAGGCTGTGCGCGACAGCAGAGGACTGGTGGGTGCAGATTTTCGTAGAACAGGGCTAGGAGGTTCCATTCTGAGTTCGAAGCGCGTCATCTTATGTGTCGACTTTGCTCGCTTTCTATGGGCAAAGTCGTTGTCTTGAGAGCTTGTCCGTGTGAGTTTGAGGTCTGGCTGTGGTGTGAACACAAGTCGTCCCTTGAGTTTCTGGATCGTATCATCCAACGCGAGCTCAATGGCTACATGGTTCTGTATACGCGACAATTTTGGCCATGTAGCTCGCTGTCCAGTGAGCATGCACCCAATCATGTACTCCGGTGTGGGGTTACTCAAGACTCTGGGAAAGTCGGCATAATTGATCTTTGGAAAGATATTGATGTCACCAGAGTAACGCTGGCTGAGTACCGACCTTCCTTTTGTTACCAGATTTGGGAGAATCCCAGTGTCCGCTAACTGTTGAAGGCGGTGCATGACTTCTCCCTTGCAAAGGCTAGCTGAAAGGCTCATCCAGCCGGGACCGGTGGCAGCATCCTGTTGGGCTTCTGTAGCGACCATTTCTTCTTCCTTTGCTAGGAAGGGAACGACATGTGGGTTCACTTGCGAGACAATAAAGTGATTTACGTTGAACATCTCGGCTAATCGAGTCATCGGTAGGTCATTGTCAACGGAACCGTCGATCCAGGTCGCGTCAGGGTTTGGATCCCAAGGCACTTCCTGGCCGGTCTTCGGGTCTTTGGCTAAAAGTGAAGCCTTCTTGTATACTAGCGGCACTGAGCAAGACGTACATCTAAGCGGATTAGCACAAGAACAAAACGTTCTTTAGTTGCCACTTACACTGCTGACCAAATCATGACATTCGGCGCTGTGATGTAGTTCAAAAGTCTGGGCAATTCGTAGAGCGAAGAAGTCGAGACAGGTATGTTCAAGATACGACGAGTTCGATTGTATGCTTCTTGGAAGGTCATGTCGCCGAGCAGATCGCGCATCACCCTCATGAGATGCGAAATGTCAAAGAGAGCGCCTGACTTCATCAAGCGCATCGCTTTGCCGACCACGCCTTCCGGGTGATCAGGGCTTTCGAATACGTTCAAATCTCCATAGCAGAATTGGTGCATAACCTCTGGAACCTCTGCATCTGTCTTTGTGCATAGGACGGCACTGACGATGCTTCCAGCAGAGGCTCCCGATATAATGCGTGGGAGAAGACGAGCATCCCAGAGACCTTTGACAACGCCGATGTGGTTCATGCCAAAGGTACCGCCGCCTGAGAGCAACAGCGCGCTTCGCCCGAAAGACTGTCGCGTTTGAAGGAGCTGATCGACCAAACGTCGCGGCTCGATAGGACACTGATCTCCCTGCTTCTCTGAGACGTCCAGCAGAGCCGCCATGGTCTGCTGCGCAGATTCAATATACCTCTCGATCAGGCGCTTGGTTCCAATGTGCGAATGTTTGTATAAGCACAGATCGCCCATGTCGCCCAATCCGCGTGTGAGGGTGGTCCTAACCAGGAAAAGCATCCTTTTGACATCACAACTTAAACGAGCGTCGTCCAGCTCTTTCAGCCGGGCGGCAACCAGATCTACGTTGTACTCTGTTGTGTCATCCTCTTCTTTCCAGGCCTCGTTTCCTTCTAAGATATCGAGTTCGGTCGCGGCGGCTTTCCATTGGTCGTATGTCTCGGCCTGCATGGCGATCTCGTCAGCATGTGAAAGGGTCACGACCAATCTGGATGACCCACGTCTTTCATGTGCAGGTACAGGACCTGCCTACGGTTTGCTTCCGCAGCACCCGCGGTCGTTTCAGGAACATGGTCGTCGTCTGCTGGCTCGCCTAGAGTCCTCAACGGATTCCTGGCCAACTGCACAAGGGGACCGAGGAAGCCGCCATGACTCTTACTTTTCCTTATCGCCTTGTGCCCATTCTGTCCTCCTCTTACGTGCAGTCTTGTACTGCCGCCTGTGAATATCGTGTCAGACAGCAATGACATCGAGCGCCGGTGCACGCCATGCGCGGATGTGACGAAGCCTGGCTTAGCCGGTGGAAGGTGGATCGGAAGATCGAGTGCGGAACGTCAACGCAGGTTGTGGTGATGGAGATGAAGAGGTGCAGCCGGTTACTATGGGGGTCTCGCACTCGAGGGAATATGAAGCCTAGTAATAGTGCCTTTGTCGAAGACGCGGTGTAGGATGGCCGGAAATGGGTCAACTGCGGGTGGTCATGCGCACTTGGTCGCGCAAGTCGCGGAAGGTACGCCACAGGTTTGCTGCCTCAACAATTCAAATATGTGGTCGCCGGGTGACGAGACGTGCGCGGGAATGGAAGGCATGGATACTTTTCAAGTACTCGATACGTGCAGCGCATACCAGGGAGCGTGGGGACATGAGCGTGGTACATCGTCATAGGCAAGGATGCACCTAAACAGACATGGCTGGCATGGCTCCGCGTCGGTAGTGCTAAACTGCCCACCGACCCTGACACGCAACTCCCACCTGTACCTGCAGAGTTGGCAGGCTACTGCAATGCACCCATGGATCATGTGTTTGATGCTGCTGGTTATGTGAGCTTACGAGGGCGAGTGCCTCACACCCGCCTGTCGCTGTGTTCAACTCCCGACGGCCCCGGCCTATGAAGTATGAGCTATACGCAATATTGGTCCGGAAAGGCCGTATAGCGCCCGCAATAGTTGCTCTGTCCGACATCGCGATCCTACGCTGCAGGCAGAGTAGATCTGGAGAAACATGCAGACGTGGGGCAGCTATCCCAACCTCTTTTGACCGCCATCTCCGATCCTCTTCTGTCCACGAGATACACATGCATAAGCCAGCAGTGCACACTCAAAAAGAATATGGGTGTGACAACACAGTCAGTCGCAGTCATTCGCGCAGCGGGTGGGCTGAGACGTGGCGCCTCTTTCACATGTCAGTCTTGCTGAGCCAACTGACTCGACGGTTGGGACAAAAAAGGAAGGAAGCACCGCGACTGTTCATGCAAATCATCACCAACACTTTGTGTAAGCTACAAGATGAATTCCGGCTTCGGCCGCGAAGTCGTGTGCGTGTAGTTGGGTCGTAACATCGTTACTATACCGGGTATTATGCAACCGTACCGAGACTCCTTTAACGCCATTTTTTACACATTCACGAATCCATAAAATCCCCCATACTACTTGGTGATTTTTGTTAGCCGTGGTTCCTCGCCCTCGGTGCGGACGACGCGATACGCGCCTCTGACCCTCCCCTCCTGTGCGACTCCGAGAAACACCCTCTCGACGTTCCTTAGGCAGGCTAGTGTATTCGATCCTGGCAACGTCTCCGGTAGCATAAACTCCGTCAACGCATCAAGCTGCTCAAGACGTAGGCGTTTCTCCAACAACAAGAAGTTGAACATGATATTATGTGAGTCGAAAGCGATCAGGTTGAGCTGATAGGGCAGAGTCGCCGTCTCCTCGTACATCTGGCGGCAAACGCCATTGAGTAAAGTGAACGTTGTGGGAGGTTTGAGCCAGGGCTGTGCTGCTACCGCTGTGTATGGATTTCGTTTACCGTCGAATACTGTGCATCGGTACTTGAAGACAGGTACGACGTCCTGGGCCCTCTTGGGTTTTGTAGGGTCATAAGTAGTGCGGTAATTCTCGTAGCTGATATTGATGGTCCTGCCACCAAGCACATGCTTATAAATGAGATTTCTGACATCCTCAGGGAGTTGCAGAAGAGGTGAGTTGGCCTGGTTCGCCATGAATCTAATTTGGTCAGTCTGTGCTCATAAAGCGCGTATCCTTGGATGGCTCACATCTGGGCTTGCTCTGATCTTCTTGATAATCGCTCTCCAGCTATGGTCCGCCGTGGTGCTGCGATACACTCAGCCTTGTAGGCCTTGGGCTGATATGGCTCTTTTGGCTGCTCATTCTTGATAATCCGCTCAAAGAGCTGCGAAGTCTGGGTCGGAGGTTTAGACAATGATGTTTCAAACACCCTCGGTTCGACCTCGTTTGCAGCTCTCTTGTATCGCGCAAGATTCTCATCTCTTCGCGCTTGTTGATGAGCTTTCCTCTGCGCCTCCGCTGGTGGTGTTGGCAGAGAGCCATTCCTTGCCCAGCCATTCTGCTGTTGTGATGTTTTCCCGTTCTTCATGATCTCTACATAGTTCTCCCGGTTGTCCCGAATACTACTCTCATCTGGTTTGGGGGCTCGGTGTTGTTTGTTTCCAAGCACTTTGTCGAACACAGAGCGCGGGGGATACATGTCGTCATCTGGAATGGACACTGGACCCTTGGAAAATGACTTTCTTTCTTTTCGGCTCGGGGGTGGTGTTGGCAGTCGCGATTCATTTGACTCGGCATCTGCCTTACTCCGCTTACGACTGTCGTCTTCCTCGTGCGCTGCGTCTTGATCATGAGGTACCCGACGCTTGTTCGGCCGCTTCGAATAGGTGATTTTTCCCGCCATTCTGCGGAAAAAGTTGATAACTCTTGAGATGAGTGAGGGAATGGCGAGTGTAGAGATTGAGAGAGCGAGATTCGCTCATAACAATCGAAGTTGCGGAGCTGCGATGTTGTGGAAGGAGCGAGTGAAGGTGCCCACCAATCAAGAACAAGGATTGGTAGAGTGAATGGACGGCAAAACGCACAAGTAAAATCAGGATGATCGTGAAGACCTAGGTTTCTGTTCACCTTGCCGAGCACACCCGACAGCGCCGCAGGTAGTCGAGCAAGCAGGGTCAGAAAATCAATACGATGCGTAGTAACGATTGCATTCCCGAGTTCCTCACAATACCTACGCGAAATCGGAAGCTCAATGAAGTCGTGTGCGCAGTGTTCGGATGCAGAAATAGATCTCCGCAGTTGTCGCGGTCTCACGTGTGAGGGTAGCAGTCATCATGAGCGAATCTGGTTAGCGGTCGGCTTTTGTGGCACGATCCCCGAAGGCAGCAGCGGCGAGTTGTCATGGTCAGAGAACACCAATTTCGAAGCCTTTGAAGTTGTATATACTAAGACCCCGGGTACAGCATTGCATAACGACCTAGTAACGACTGATATGGCCGTCTTTCCTTGGCTACTGAGTGTGTCCATCGGCTAGGTATAGGCCATGTACCGATCAGATCGCTCGTCTCCAAGAGGTAACCCAATGGCTCAGCTTGTTGTAAAGGTATTTGCTGCGTTCTACTCTACTACAAAACAATATGTACTCTACAGCAAAACATTCAGTGCTTCACTACTGCAACTCTGATATTCTTAGCTATAGGCTCGTGCTTGCTTCTGTTCTCCTACAAATACTATCGTCATCCCTCAGAATAGTAGGCACACGTTTTTTGTTCTATTATTCTTTATGTTTATAACCCCCTTCTTCATTCTTGTGACGACAGGTAGCGCAAGGATGTCATGAAGCTCAAGGTGAGAGAGATGACCTCAGCCTCTATGGCCTGGCCCTGTCTCTTCTGGGCCATATTCTTCGCTTCTCTTCTTACAAGCTTTAATGTGTACTGTCGTCTCGCTCTCCTCAATCACAGTTTCTCGTTGTCAGCAATACTCTGCGTTTCTATTACGACGAATTGCACCATTAGCCCGAGCTTTCAAAAGTCCTTCGATACTGTCTGGTAGCGGTATTGATGTCGCTGCGTGGTCACCCAGCTTTCGCTCCTGCCTTCTCGTTCGGGAAGTCGCGCTCACCTCGACTTCAATCGGCAGCAACAGCTAGCCAGTTGCCTCATCAACAGCCTTGACCTTCGACTTCCTCTCCTTCCTCACACACGCACAATAACTACCTCCGCAGCAGAGTTATGTGTTTACTGTGTAAGCACAGGCCAGAGTTTTACATCAACGTATCGACCTTTCGCTCTATCAACTCTATTGCCGGTGTCAATGCCGTCCATCACACCAAAGACGACAGCTACCAAGGCTGCAGCCTTTGTTTGGGATGCCTTTCCTCCACCGCCACCCGAGGCTGAAAACTGGCAGCCCGATCCGAACAGTATCCCGAAAGCAGGAAATCTTCCTGACCCCCGATTCAATCGCGACCCTGAACAAGATCGCCGGAGCAAGTCGTACAGGAAAGAAGCGAAGATGTACGGCCAAGCTTTGAGCGAAAGTGCATCATCACCATCCACAAAAGAAAGCTCTTTAGGCCGTGGACTTGGGCAGTGGCCAGCGCCAGCTGCACGTAGCACGGGCTTTCCAAGAGACTTTGTTCAAGACGTCAAACCCACTTCACCATCCTTGGAGTCCGTCACAGTGCTTAAGTCACGCAAGTATCCATCGATTAGTACCAAGCCGACCCCACGTATCGACGGTCCCCCTAAAGGCACGATGGAGTTGATGCCTGCACCAAACTATCGCCGTCCAGAAACTCCAGTATCAAGGGCCCCTGGAAAGTCAGCGTCCCCTACAAAGAGCCTATCATCAGTTTGGGCCTCTCTAGAGAAGGCAATTGCAGAAGACGAAAGGAAGCTTGACGTATCGGTTGTCACTGCCACTGGCTCAAAAATCTCATCCCGTCCCGAAAGTGTCCGCAAGAAGTCCATCCCCCCGCACCTGAGGAGCAAGTCCGGTGAAGGCAAAACTATTCCCCCGATCAGCTCCGCGCAGAGCTTCAACCCAAGCCTGAACCCGAGGGCAAAGGCGTACGATGTCATGGCATGGGAAATGGTTTCAGCAGACTCTGGCATTGAACATGCTAAACATGTAAGTATCAGCAATTGTATCCTACCTACATTCACTAAAGTATCTTAGGGCTTGCACATTCAACAAGATATCCTGGACCGGTCCGTTGTCAAACAACCTACCCCAAATGATAATCCATCCGCTACACCTAACGCTCGCGCTCCTCCCGACCACGGTACCAAACTCAGAGTTATGCTTATCCGTGCGATGGAGCACGAATTAGACCTGGAAAAGGTAGCGCCTGAACGAGAACTCATGGCTATGCAGCGCGCCGAGCTTGACAGATACTATGACAAGGTCTGCTCGGCTCATCAGCAATGGTGGGAAGCCACGAGAAAAACATGATTAGTGACACACTGTCTGTGTGTAGAATACATGATTCTCTTAAAAAAAAGGATTATTGAGAGTTCCCATGGTCCGCCTCGAAATTCATCAAAAGCTCACTTCCCGATCTCATGTTCTTTCTCTCGTCCTCTCTAAAACAGAAGACATACTCTACCATGGCGTGCTCTTTTGGAGTTACCCAACCCACTCTCAGAACGGCCCATATGGTATGTACATCTCAGACTTCTCGCGGCGATTTGAGGCTGATTTCACGACTAGCTCTCTCAGTCTACAATATGGAATCAGACTACTACTATGCAAGGTTCGGGTGGGCAACAAGCCAGTTGCTAGACCTATCAGATGCATCAGGTGGAATTTGGCAGAAGAGAAGTCTTGACTATCAGCATACTCTTCCCACGAGTTTTGTCATTTTGACAGGCAGAGCATATTGGGAGGACACGTTGGCACAGCGGAAGCAGCTTCATCGAGTGGCGTACATACAGAACTTAGCCATCAGTGGACGTCTTTTCATCAATGACATAACTTCATCACATCTCTATACTATTTATACAGTGGGTAGAACTTTGCATGCCATCCGTTTGGAAACAAACGCTCATTGTCTTGTCCAGAGTTGCTATCAGTCAATCAGTCAGTTGTCAGTTCATCTTTGCGGTTCAAACTGTCAGTCTGGAGGTAGTGAACTGACCTGATTGACTGCCAAGACATTTTTTAGAATCGCGAACTGAGACTGA